ACGTGGTGTTTCTTATGAAACTCTGAGGCTTCTAGCACACTTCCTATCAATAAACGATCAATTTCATCATTGCCTTGTGCTAGAGGACCTGGCAGACCCGTATGGGATCTGATGTGTGTTATATATATAGGATGAGTCCTCTTTCTGATAGTATCTTGTAACTGTATAAACAATGAAGTTAATTCTGTATTGTCAGGAATAAATTCTGCAGTCTCAATGTGTAAAACGACTCTCTCTGCGTATTGAGAGTCAGTAACTATATTGAGGGGTTCTTTAAAATCCATAAGTACCATGAGAATGGCATACAATTCTGCCTTTTGTACAGAATTGTAAGGGCTTTGAACCACTTTACTAATATTTCCTGATTTATATCCTGCCTTACCTGATTTATTTGCATCAGTGTAGAATGTATGAACTCCAGAAATAGGTGTTTTTCTTACAATGCGTGGAAGAATCCAAATCGTTTTCTTTATGAATTTGATTCTCTCAGTTTTGGGATAGTTGTTGCTAATTGTTCCCAAAAAGTTACTGCAAGCTCTCTGCCAATATTCGTTATCTTTCCATAAGGAAGAAATTTCCTCATTAGTTAAAGGTACTATAATTTCTGCTGGGTCCCTTCCTATTAGCTGACGAAGTCTTAATTTACCTTTTATAATCAAGTCAGAGATCTTTTCTATATATGTTTTCAGTTTTTTATTCTGTTTATGTGGTAGGAATATCCATTCTAATATGATATCTTCTCTCTGCATCAAAATCCCTGAAGGATATTCTCTAGATGGTAATATAACCAGAATACAGTCTAGGTTTGGATCCACACGGTCCACATGTGCTTCTAGTATCCTCTTTTCTACCCATTCTAATTCCTTCTCAGCTTCAGCTGATAGTATTCGTGGACTATTCAAGTCCTTATCTCCTTTTAGGGCCATTTTCAAGTTTTTCAAATCATGCCCTTCTACTCCAATTATGGTTTGCAGTTGAGAAATCTCTCCTAGTAATTTTTGAAGATCATTAAGAGTCTGGTAGCGATCTCTTCTGATCTGTACTTTTTGTGGTCTAATTTTCTGTAGACCTATTTTATATCCTAAGTAGTTGATAGACTCTCCTTTTTGTATTTTTTCAGGTGCAATTTGTAATCCCCAGCGAGGTAAAACTTCCTTTACTTTCTCAAACATTTTTTCTAATATTTCTCCTTTAGAGTCAGCTAACAATATATCATCCATGTAATGATAGATTATGGATTGTGGAAACTGTTTACGAATTATTTCTAACGGCTTTTGTACGAAATATTGGCACAGGGTGGGGCTATTTAGCATTCCCTGTGGCAAAACCTTCCATTGATATCTCTTCACCGGTTGAGAATTGTTATAATTAGGTACCGTGAAGGCAAATTTCTCTTTGTCTTGTTCTTGTAAAGGTATAGTGAAGAAGCAATCCTTTAAATCAATAACTATAATAGGCCATTCTTTGGGTATCAAAGAAGGCAAGGGCATTCCAGGCTGTAGAGAGCCCATTGGCTGGATAACTTTATTGATGGCTCTCAGGTCTGTAAGCATTCTCCATTTACCAGATTTCTTTTTGATCACAAATACAGGAGAATTCCAAGGGCTGGTTGATTCCTCAATATGTCCAGCATTTAGCTGTTCCTGAACCAGGCTTTCTAAAGCTTCTAACTTCTCAGAGGTCATAGGCCATTGTCCTACCCAGACAGGTTCCTCTGTTAGCCATTTTAAAGGTAGGGCTTTTGGTTCCTCTGTTTGTTCAGCATTTGTATTTTGTTTTTGTACTGCCTGGATATTTGGTCTCTGTCTTGTATAGTACTTAACAGTATTCTTTCCACAATCATGAGGTCGTCTATGGTTCCTATCTAATACAGGAGGAATGTTAATCTGTGTATTCCATTGCTGTAATAGATCACGACCCCATAAATTTATCACTACATCAGGTGGCTTCTGCCGCCTGGGGGCAAAACCCAGGTAAATCCCACTTCTGACACCAGATATTGCGGTAAATAAGGGTCAGGATAAACAAATAGGCCGAATAGATGTTTATTCAGGGAGAAATAACTTACAACCTAGACAGATGAACACCAGGAAATTCAACCCGATCCTCTCCTGTCCGAGTCACGCCAGAAAGAGAGCGCCTTCCTGGCCCCCTCCGACCTCCTTCCTCAGGTCACCTCCGCCCATCGCTCCACCCCCCAATGGGCGTGGTCAGTGCTACAGAAGGACTACCTCACTACAGACCTCCACTAGGAGGCTTCTGATTTATTGTTCTATGTGCAGTTTGATTGGGAAGCCATCTTTGGGATCCTTGTACCAGCTTCTCTTCACAGTGAAGAGTCACATTGACTGTGCAGTCCGATCCCTCCTTATTTTAAACATGAGTCTATGTGGCAATTAAAAATAATTAAAACAACTAGAATTTACAAGTAGGCACAGGCAGTAAGTAGCCTGTCTTCTCCGCTCCAGTTCTGAAGTGCCAAGTTCCGAGACGTGAAGCCTATGTCAAGCTGCTCAGCAACATTTGCCTCTCCTTGCCCCAGAACATCAATAACTTGCTCTTGTCATGTTTAAAGTGCTTTTCGAACATTAAATAATCTCAGAATACACACTCTGTTCTGTGAATTTATCTTGACCTACTGTCAAGGAAGGCAGTTCTATGCCCTCTCCATTTTCTGTCTCTTTGCTTTGGGTAGCTTCTCTAGCAAATTTGAATAACAAAATGACAGGTCCAGTTTAGTATGCGTCGTGACCAAGGCAAATAACTCGTTTTTGGCCAGATAATCTTCTGACTACTCTCCAGTTGCTATTTTCTAGTTGGATACTCACGCATGTATTTCCATAACACTTGAGCCTTGCCTTGAAAAAATTGACAGTGTGAATGGGAAACAAATTAAAGAAGAGAATGAAATCAGGAAACTAGTGATCACTTTATCACTTTCATCTCTTTGAAAAGTCTACCATAGCTTTATTATCAGGACTATAAAGGGACTTAAAGTTCAGAACTCCCCCTAGTTCTATAGAAACCATGAAATCCATGCTTCAACTGTGAACTTGTATTGCTTCTTGAATTTGTATTTTCTCTTTTATTCTTGATAAAAGAGAAAATTTATGTTCCATTTAAAATTTTCTACTTTTTAAACATGTGATCAAGATCCCTAGACATTTGAGTGAAGTCTCTTTAAACTTACACACTCAACTGTAAGACACCAAGCAGGTTGGTGTGGCCTTGTCTGCAGCTGAATGGCTGGACTCACTCAAGAGCATCTGAAGTGCAGAAACAATTCTTTAGGAGCCATAGAAACCTTTCCAGAGGTTAAAATTCTGGAGATTAGCAACATATCAACTTTCAGGTAGGCTACTCCAAAACACTCATAATTCATTTACTCTCCTGAAAATCATTATTCTGAAGGTTTGATTCACTTGTGGCCTCACTTGGGTCTTAAATCTCATTTCAAAGCACTCCAATACATTCATCCATTTCAAAACTACCATTAGGAGTGATGGGAATTTGGCACAAAAATCAATGAGAGGATATGATGTGAATTCTTTCTAATTTTTTCTTCTTTGAGTACCACTTCAAATACCGTTTATGAAATCTGTTTTTAAAGGTAGTAGTCCATCTTGCTATCATTTCCACTAAATTGAGTTCATGAACTTGAAGCATGCATCTCCGTGGCTTTCCTTTTATGAAAGGAACTCCGGCAATATTGCTAATATCTACCAAAAGCCACTTTTAAAATCTTATTTAAGGCATCTCACCAATGGTGCCCCTGATTAACATTTTAATCTTTTAAAAATCTAGGACTGTGTTTACCATCTAAACTAAAAATTCTCTGTGTAATTATGAAGTATGTCCTACTTGAGCTGTGCACTGATATGTACTAGCCTCTGGGTGGTCAAAGAATTGTATGATTTTTATTTCTGTGAAGAGAAAGTGCCACTTTACAGAAGAAAGAAATATTGAGACTTCATTAACTAGAGTGTTTATTTTTATATTTCAACCAACACTCAAAGAATACTTTATGGACTAAAATTGTACCATAAGGATCACTGTGTATACAACTGTTTCAAGACCCCATGCTTTAATTTCTAGTTTAAAGGATTTCTTATACTGAAATATTTGTACCACTTATTTAATATTGCCTAGCTAAAAGTAAATGTATGATCATAACTTCATAACTTGTTACAAACTAAGAAAGTATACTTACACATTTAAATCTATCTAGATAAGATTAGGGGAAAAAAAGAACATTTAACAAAAGTTGTGTTGAATGGTGAGAAAATGATATATTTATATCTTTTTTTTTGTTTTTTTGTTTTTTTGAGACAGCCTTTCTCTGTGTAGTTTTGGAATCTCTCTGTTCACTTGCTGTGTAAATGTGTAAACCAGGCAGACCTTGAACTTACAAAGATGTTTATAAAAGATGCTTATAACTTTGCTATCATATATTTTGTGCATTGTGATGTCAGCTATAAGTTCTTAAAATTGAATTAATTGATATCCTAAGATTACCTGACATTAGTCTTAGTTCTGTGTACCTGCCAAAATATGATGATGTCAGTGAGAACAAGTTAGGCAATTAAACAGGATATCAAGAAAAATTTCACCCATTTGAACCACTGTATCATTAATTTTTATTCTCTCTCCATAAGAGGATTTTCTTTTCTTTTCTTTTCTTTTCTTTTTTTTTTGCTTGTTTTCTGAATACAAAGAAACCCCAAATCAAAGGTCATAGTAATAAGAGGCATCTTAGTCTTCAAACACACAGTTGCTTTTAATAGTGAGAATGAGAAATGGTACTGGAGATGAGGATCAATTACCACTTATGCCCCTGCTGAGAATGGGGTAATGTGCAGATGGCCTATGGGCTATTGAATTCCACTGTGCAAGAATGTTCAGGTCTAGAAAATAGCATCAAGGGTTTACTAGTCTCTGTTATTTGGTTCCTTATATTTGAAGTTAATCTATGAAATTTTATTTTCTGGGTGTGTGACTAGGAAATACATCCACAACCACAACTGTGATAGACAACAAAAATGGATCTGTGCCCAAGTCCCCTGGAAAGGTGCTGAAGAGGACTGTCACCGAAGACATTGTGACAACCTTCAGCTCCCCTGCAGCCTGGCTTCTGGTCATCGCTCTGATAATCACATGGTCAGCTGTTGCTATCGTTATGTTTGACTTAGTGGATTACAAAAACTTTTCAGGTAAGAAGCATTGCATTTGGACTTTAAATCAAAGGAAACATGTTCTCCTAAGGTGTGGTGTTGTTTCTCTCTACTGCAACTTAGTGTATATGTGGTGATATCTTGTTTATACAAATAAAGCCTGTCAGTAGGTCAGAGAATGGAGCTTGCCGCTGGCTAACCATAGAGGTCTGGAGGTCTGTACAGACAGAAAGGAAGTGAGATGGCTGGACAGAATGAGGATATAATTAGGCGGAAGCAGAAACTTGCACTTTTGTCTGCTGAGAAGATAGGATTGTGACTTGCTCCTATTTCTCTCTGGTCCCCCAGCATTTTCCTTTATATCTTACTCTGGGTTTTTGTTATTTAGACCAAGTAAAAACTTTTTTTTACAAGTGTGAGATGTGCTGGGTATCATTGGAGTAAGTTGCTTCATGAACACAGAGGCATGACTGATACAATTTTTTGCCAGCTATATTTTTGGTAGCTGGACTATGTTTGGCATCATTTACCAGACAGATGAGACCAAAGTACCATACAAATAGAGGTTTCTTCTCTAATAGGCAACACATTTACTGTATTCTTTCATACATTTTTAAAGAAAATGTAGTTGCATTGTCTATAATTTAAAATGACAGAATTTTATATGAAAAATATTTGGTTATATTACTTCAGAAAACAACCCTTTTACTAAATCTAAATGGACTGCAGTATTTCACATATCCTTTCCATTAAAGCATAATTTCATTTACTTTAACCTCAAAACTAAATATGACCATAAAACATAGTTAATTCATTTTATAGTCTATATTTTGAAGAGCTCTATCTCATTCTAATATCTGTAAGTTAATTTGGAAGCAGACATAGAAATTTATTCTATAAAGTACATATCTTTCTTCAATCAGATTTTCAGAAAAAATATTGAATATATTTTCAATGGAACTACTGTCGTCAATAGCTATGAATGGTTACTGGTTACAGGCATTTTATCTAATAGTTATTACTTCAGTAAGTCTTCAATATGAAGCACAATCCTTTGTGAAGTTTGCTCCTTATGGTGCCTACATTTATTAATGACAAAACCAGCCAATCCCACAAGAAAAGCCTGCAGTCAGGTTTAAAGTCTCTTTAAGTCCAAAGAATCCATCACAGCCTATGCTCTGTAAACACAAATGACTTATAAATCTCAATGTTCTTAGCAGTGGCACCATGCCTATTATTACACTTTAGTCTTTTCAGGGAACTTAGGAAACTTTGTACCATGTTCAACAGTCCATACTCATTAGTAGGTTCTTAAAGATACTTTCATAGTGTGAATATCTGAAAAAGTCATGTTTTCCCTGATGTCTAAGTACAGAAAATGCCTTGTATGAAATTCAAGTCCTTGTCTTAACTCTTGATTTTTTGGAACCTGTCCTGAAACTCGCTCTGTAGACCAGGCTGACCTCGAACTCGCAGAGATCCATCTGCCTCGTTTAACTCTTTATTTTTATATTGGAATTTAATACACATATCCAATTTCTCAACCATATTTATTTCCTTTCTAACCTGCTCATCCTAGGTAAACACAAACTTTCATTTCTTGTTGTCCATGTAAAATGATGTTTCCGGAGCTCCAGACTCTGGTGGAGCTAGCATGATGTTTAATTTTAAAAATGGAGATTCTGATACTTCATTTATTTGCTATCTCAGACCTTGCTACTTGATAACTCTTTGATAATGGGGGATATTGGCCTCAGTTTTTACATCTACAAAATGAGTATTATGAAAAAAACATCTGTGTGATAGGATTATTTGAAAGAATACTTTTAAATATTCTAGAAAAACACCTGTTTGTCATAAGTACTCCATTCAGTGAGTGAAACTTTTTGTTACTTTTATCTTGAGAAGGATCATTCATGTTTCATGACATATTCCTTCATTTATGATGCATTCTGTTACATCATAAGAATAACACACTATAATATATTTCTCTTCTTCTAGTATTGTGTGGACACATCTATCTAGATAAATTCATACAATGTATTAGAAATATCAGTTGGCTTGACTGTATCATGCAGAAACCTAATCTTTTTCAAGGAAAAGTTTATTTTATTCTTCTCTGTGTGAATGTCAGACATATAGGAATTGGGGGCATATTACTTGCAGTAACACACAATTCTAACATTTTGAGATTGAAACTACATCTTAGTTGTGGAGAAATGTACATATATAAAATTTTATTTCATTTTAACTGAAACTTTATTGAACTTGCCCTTAGGAATTAAGAAAACAGTGAAGTAGAGTGTTTCCACAATGAAATTTTACTTGTCTTTTTGTTTTTAACAGTTATTCATGACTAACAAATTGTCTTAAAAGTAAGAGACTTAATACAGTGACATTTGTAATTTAACATTCTATCCATGGGTCAGAATATTGGAAATGGTTTATATAGATGGCTCGGTCTTAAGTTCTATTCTGAGATTGCAGTAAAGACATTGGCAGAGATGGCATGTGATGGAAGATTGATGTGAATGGAACTATTTGCAAGATGTCTCACCCATCAGGCTGTTGACACTGGTACATCCCCACAGCATGGTGGATAGTGCCACCTAGATAAGAAAAAGCAGAGCAGAAGTCACATTCACCTCATTCCCTAGTCTTGGAAATTTGAGTGTTCATTTCTGTAAAATTCTTTTAGTTTCATAGCAAAATAAAAATCTACTGCACATCGTCTGGGAAAGCATTTAGGAACATTAGTATAAAACAGCAAAGATCATTGAAATAGGAGGTAAGGTAAGGTGTTGGTGCCTGGCTGCCACATACTTCATGCTTATAAAAACTTTTATTGTCAAATTATACATCTTAGATAAATATTCTAGTGTAAGGTAAGAACATTCAATGTTCTTTTTGACAATTGGATATTAAAACAAAAACAGGCATACAGAAAATTATTCCATATTAAGATGAGTGGCATCAATGGATAAGAAATGCAAAAAATATGAAACTTGAAATTTAAAAGGAAACAAATAATGAAATGACTTTAGCTTATTAAAACTCAAATGATCCATTTATGTAACCAAAAGAATATAAGTTCAAAGAGTTGGCACGATTGTAACAAAAAAGCTGTACTTCATTACAATCTTTGCATACATTAGACACACTCTAACATTCTAACTCCATTCATCCATTAATGAATTTATTATTATTATTACTACTATTATTTACATCCTGACTACAGTTTTCTCCTAGCTCTTTCGCCCCTCCCTTCTGTTATCTCCCACTCTGCCTCCATTTCTATTAAGAAAAGGCAAAGCCTCCCATGGATATTGAGTAAGACTAAGAATTTCACCTGTGTTACAGCTGGACAAGAAAACCCAGTATGAGGGATAGGTTCCCAGTAGCTGGCAAAGAGTTAGAGACAGCTCTTCTCCTGCCGGGAGTCCCACAAGAAGGCCACACTACACAACTGTCACATATGTGCACAGGGCCTTGTCAGTCTCATACGGTCTCCCTAGTTGTGGGTTCAGGCTCGGTGAGCCTTTAAGAGCCTTAGATTCTGTGGGTCTCTCTATGGTGTTCTTGATCGCTCTGATCCTACAATCCTTCCTCCCCGCTATTGCAGGATTCCCTTAGCTCAGACTAATGTTGGCTGTAAGTTTCTGCACCTGTTTCCTTCAGTTGCTGGATGAAGCCTCTCTGATGAAAATTAGGCTAGGCATCAATCTGAATATAGCAAAATATCATTAGGCATCATTACACTGACTTTTTTTTTCAAACCATGTTTGGCTCTATCTTAGGTCTCTGGACTGCCCAGCCTCTGGGACCTGGCCCTCCAGGCAGTGTCAAGGGTGGGCTCCCTCTCACGGTATGGGTCTCAGATTGGACCAGTCATTGGTTGACCACTCCCGCAATTTCTATGCTCCCCTTACCCCTGCACATCTTGTAGGCAGGACAAATTGTAGGTCGAAGGTTATGGGTCTGGGTTGGTGTCCCTGTTCCTCCTCTGGAAATCTTGCCTGGTTACAGGAGATGGACAGTTCAGGCCACACATTCCCTTTCTCTAGGCATCTTTGCTAGGGTTGTTATCATAGATTCCTAGGAGTTTCCATTGCACTAGGTTTCTACGTCACCCAGAAATGCCCCCCCCCATTCCAGTTGTCGTTCCCATTACTCTCTCCTTCCATCCTCCCTCTACTTGAACCCCCCTGTTCTCATTCCCACCTGACCCCGGTTCTCTCACAAACTCTATTCTATTTCCCTTTCCCGGGGAGGGCCATGTGCCCCACTCCCCCAGTTAGGACCTCTTTTTTTATTTGCCTCTCTTGGTTTGTGGATTCTAGCAAGGCTATCCTTTGCTTTACAGGCAATGTCCACTTATAAGTGAGTACATGCCATGTTTATCTTTCTGAGTCTGAATGACCTCACTAAGCATGATTTTTAATAATTCAATCCATTTGCCTGCAAATGTCATTATGACATTTTAAAACAGCTGATAAATACTCCATTGTCTAAACGTACCACATCTTCTTTATACATCCTTTGCCTGGGGGACATCTAGTTGTTTCCCACTCCTAGCTATAATGAACAATGCTGCTATGACCATAGTTGAACAAGTGTCCTTGTATGATTGAGCATCTTTTGGGTAAAAAAAAAAAAAAGGTTAAAAAAAGAGGAGTGGCATAACTGAGTGTTGAAGTATATCAATTTCCAATTTTCTGAGAAACCACCATATTAATTTCCAAAGTGGCTATACAAGTTTTCACTCCCACCAGCAATGGAGGAGTGTTTTCTTAGCTCCAAATCCTCACCAGCTTCGAAATTATACCTGTCAGAATGGCTAAGATCATTTAGCCGGACCTTAATGAGTCTTTTTAGTGATTCATCACAAGAAAAATTTTACTTCAATAAAATATTTAAAAAATGAAAACTACTTTTATATTTTTCAATAGTTTTTATTTGATATGAACTTTTACTAGGAATTAGTATGTATGTATCTCCATGAGGGCTCTTTTCTACTATCCTGAAATATTGAATATGTA